AATAAACTTCTAAGTAAAGTCAACCAAAAGTTATGTAATTAATTACGCATCGTGTGAACACCCTACAGATTAGGTATATAGACACACACACACATACGCGTGCGACAGCGTGGTGTTGTATCAGCACGCCGCCGCACGCGTCCACACTTGGAACACTTGGAACGTGTCCACACTTTATTTCTTTATACGTAAATTTTGTCAAAAATTAAGTACCTATTTTTTCTACATAATTCGAATGAGAATCATGTACCGAGTATTCTCCTTAAATATTGATAGTAATTCACCAGTCACCTGTCTATTGTTAAATAATTATTAAACTGGCAACCCTCAAGCCACATATATAAGGAGCGCCATTACTGACAATCGGACACTTTTTGTTCTCAACTATTTTCAAGAGAAGAACCTCTGCTCTAATTAGTCTCGAATATTAATTAATTGAACCTTGGCCGGCGACCGTTTCTTTTTGAAAATCATAACGTGTTTTTCATTTCTAACAATATATATATATATTCACATTTCATTTGGATTTTTGGGCAGCTTTAGAGTTTGACATTCGTAATCATACGTAATTATAGCTGTTAACTAAACAAACTGAACAATAATTTAAAATTTTAAACAACTTCACAATCTTATTTTCGGAGTAAAAATAAAAAAGATTAAAAACCTTTTTTATTATGTATGTCGGCGCAACAACATTTAAAACCCTTATAAGGGGTAGTTGTTTCATAAGTATTTTATTTTAGAGGGTGAATATCATAAACAAATCACTAACGCCATTACGTTAGTGATTTCTTTAACAAAATTATTTGTTCTAGAGATCATTGTATGGTTTGTATTAAAGAATAGTAAAAGTTAATTAGTAAGGTGATTTGTAATATGTGACGATTATTCATTTAGCAACTTTTAGTAAAAAGGGAACTTAATTAGTAATCAAATCGTAATTAATGCTAATCAATTACAGTATTCTATAAACTGTTAAGTGGCAATATTAAGATTGGATGTTTTTATAATTTATTACTAAAACTAATGTAATGTGTTGTGATTATTTGAATAACTAAGATTATTCGTTACAGTTTAATATTTCAAATTAAAAGTGTAATTGTAATGATTACACAAAAACCATTTATATTCGCAAACGTTGGCGGAAGACACACAGTTGTCTGAGAGCCATTCAGGAGAAAGATTATCTAATTACAAGTACTAGTTAAAGTCTGAAATAAAGTAGTGACAGTGTTTGTGAGTGTATTAATAGTTAAATTAAAATGGAACCTGGATAAGCTGACTGTCGAAAACAGTGATTGTGACGGCAGCATTGCTGACGTCACATTTCTTAAAAATTGCTGTTACCATTTTAATAATCAATAATTCAGGGTAGATAAATTATTAAGTGTCGTTCACGTAACAACTTGTGCGAGTGAAGTCCTAACAATGGCTGTTAGTCATTATAAATAGAGGCGAGATTACTGATTACAGATAGACTTGCTGGAGCCGTCGCAGGGATCGAACCTCTTCGAAGTGAGACATCATCCAACCGGATGTGAGGGCTGTGAGGTTACCTTCGATAACCTCAAGGGCTGACGACATTCGAGAACAAACCGCACTGGTGACGTCAGTTATGCTGACGTCACTCATTTTAAAAACCACGTTTTGGCATCTTCTCCGACATGTATTATAATTTTACACGTATAATTTTTTATGCTTGAATTTTAATGTCCCAAAACTAAACATATCTTCTATATATATATAAAAATGGATTGCTGTTCCTTAGTCTCGCTAAAACTCGAGAACAGCTGAACGGATTTATCTTATCTTAGTCTTGAAATGTTCGTGGAGGTTCAGGGAAGGTATAATAGCTGAAAAAAATTGATTCATTACTGGGAAAAACATAAAAACAGCCCTTTTCTATTTCCCATACAAACGCTTTTTTTGACATTAGATTTGACAACTAACTAATATGTCAATCATTCTGTCGCACTTCAAACCACGGAGATTTATGGCTTACAGGTATACTCCAAAAATATAAATAAAAAAATGTAATAGATATTTCTTGATTATAGGGCGATACGAAGTTCGCCAGGTCTTCTAGTAAGATATAATTACCATTATATAGGCAATACAGAAAAATTAATTATCACTACTAATTGGATTTGTGTCCCTCCAAAAAAGAGAAATAAACAAAATATGTAAAACGACTAATTTACTAAACATAAAAATTCTGTTGTTATACCATTTTAATAAATGAGTTTATAGAGCGGCCTTGCTACAATTAATTTGTTCTTGTGCGTTGCACGCGATTAGATCATTTAAATTGTTATTACTTTTATCTATGCAAAATTCTTTGAACCATTCCTTTATTATAATAATTTTATAAAAGTAATATAATAATAATGAATTGCATTTCAAACATATAAACGAGTTTTTTTTCCTGCCCTGATCCCACTTTCCCTTTTCACACTCCCTCTTCCACAGAACATGTTGTAAATACATAGTTTTGGCTAATTGTAAAACTTAAAAATTTACTAATTAAATTAACATTGTGTATGTATATAAACCTATAATAATATTATATGGACTGATTTATTTAAATTATTATAATAAACTATCCCTAAATAGAACGTAATTATTGTCTTTACTTGACTTAAGTCATTAGTCAAGACATTTTATAACAACTAATCCTTTTATAAAAAAAAAATAAAAGAAACAACTGTAAGTTAAGGTTTACTGATAACATTTATATATAATGTACAAAGATATATACTCATTATTACGTACTTTGTTGGTAAAACTATTTTTCGGCAGACTTGTGCAATCTCAAACACTTTTTACAGGACCAAATCTTGATATCAGTCATTTTGTTTTGGGTTTTCATGAAACATAGAGATACATACTATTCCAACAAAGTCTTTTGAAACATTTATTAGGGGAGGATGATGTAATTGAATAGAAATGGTGAATTTACAAGTGAAATTTTGTATTTTGTATAAAGTTATTTTCAGAATGGCGGAAGTTACACCTCAATTCACTAGTTATATTATTTTATGAAGTCTTTCAATTTGTTATAATTGAATTAACTTTATAAGCGGAAAGTAGAAGTAAAAACTCAGCTTAAACCTAAAATTACAAAGTACAAGTATTCCATACAGTTCTGAAACAAATTTAGATTTTTGATCAAACAATTGTTTTATAATATTGGCACTACAAATAACAAAGATTAATACATTTAATTCTAGCTGTTAAATTATTCATTTAAGCTACGAGATTATTTGTATACAATTCCTACTAAAATGTAATTTGCCTGCCTGTTGGCGTCTATTGTATTGGGTGGTTGTGTATCATATATTAAATTTCAAATCCAATAGTAACAAGTACTATGTATGATATATTTTGGTGGCTATTTACAAATGGACGAATATGATAAAGCCGTAAGATCCATTTTTATAAATTTAAGGTGATGTAAGAATTCGGTACCACAAAAGTTATGATTGATTGAACTCAAAAACATTCTGTTATGTTAAATATTACTAAAACCGATCATTCTGAGATTCTATATTTTATATGTTTGAAAACTTTTTTGTTTAAGATTAACGTTATCTTATTAATCTGTCAGACCGAAACAAATATTAATATTTGTAAATATACATACTTGTATAAAACAGCGGTGGCCTAGTGGTTTAAAAGCCCCGTTTCTCATGCACGAGGGCGTGGGTTCGATCCTGTATCAATGTGATTTTTCAAAGTCATATGTATAATACTTTCTAAGAGTATTTAGACATCACTGATTAATGCATTCCCAAAAGGGGGTTGATGTCAGGCAGGCGGCCCGTCGTAAAAACAAATAGCCAAAACTATTCACAACATATAAGGCAGACCCTGGCTATAGCTGGGAAATTGCCAGGCAGAAGAAGATACATTCTTATATATATATATTGATCTGTGGTATTCTTCTTCCAGGATATATTAAAAATACTCTGTCACAATAATTGTAATTTATAGAGCAAACAAATAATTTCAATGGCTTCCAAATTACTCACAGTACTATACAGTGCTTACCTAAACCGCTTAAATCGTCCCAAATGGTTCATACTAACACTGAATGCACCCGTATTGTGGTTTTGTAGACAAAGGCTCTATTGGGTTCATTTCACACGTAGGATGAACTATTCTATAAATAAATTGATTTCTATAACTGCGTTAAACAGAATTAAAACAGAAATTATTCCATTAATCTGTTTTTATTAAAAGAATATCTCAAAATAACTTAAAAAATAACGGAAAAACTCAATAAAAGTCATATATAAAATATTTATAATTTATCATTGAAATACTGCAAAATACAGTCACAACGGTGAGAGCTATGAAAGTTGTTGCAGAGAAATTTATTAGCGCTTGTTCTAAATACAGCATTAACAGGTCAAATGTTGAATATTTACCACAAACTACGCTTATAGAAAATAGTGTAAATGCATCTCGATCTCGATTTACTGAATATATCTGCGCTAACGTATCGTAAAGTAACATTATTTCATTTATAACATTTTTACACATATGGTTTGAATTTTTTTTTTTGAATTCTAATACCAATAAATAATGTTGAAAATAGAGTGTTTTGGACGTTTCCCGAGTCTGTCACCATAATTAAATGTTATGCAAATGGAACGTAAATTGAATGGTTATTCACGATCAGCTTTGCGCATTAATCAGTGTAATCTTATTGTAATGGAGATGAAATAAAATCGGTCCAATAACATTATTTGACCGAGAGAGCGTAAATGACGTCAGATTTTAATGTGGCTTTTTCCTCTTTAATTTGATTTCTTTTATTTAATTTTCATTTACTAGAAACCCAAAAGGAAAAAAATAGTAATATATCAGAAATGTCATAAAGAGACAATCTACTTTAAGTCTTCTATTAAACTTTTCATAACTTCTTTATTTTATATTTTTTATAGTTGCACATGTACAAGAAATTACATAGACATGTTCGATTTTATGTTGCAGTTATGACGCGAGAGTCTCAGGGTCAACGGGTCACTGGTCAGATGACACATTTGGAGATCGAGCAAGATGGATCAACTTCCCAAACTCCAGTCTTCATGTCCGGGATGTCCAGTCTCACGATAGATCCATATACAGATGTCGGGTTGACTTCCAAGTATCGCCGACAAGAAATTATAGAATAGCTCTCGATGTTATCGGCAAGTGTTTCAGTGTTAGCAATGAATATTTCTATAAATAATAAATGAATTATATAATATAACATTAAATATAAATATCTCTTAATATATGTCATTTAATAATATCCAAATTGGTTCCACCAAATTATAATATTATTTGTTTCTATTGGTGGCAGTGAAAAGGATAAGGGTGAAATAATATTTTTTTATAAATAAGAGATAACAAACAAATCTTTTTGAATTTCAACTTCATTAAATAGGATTTTTTTAACTTAAGATGTTTTTAAAGTGCCTCAAAACGTCTAGTAATTCTAATTAGAATTCTCTTACATTGTAGAAAACTTCGAAATAAGCACTCTTTTCGAGGCTTAACTCAGTTGCTTTGGCATAAATAAAGCGAAAATTATTTCATATTTTCCAGATCGCAATTAAAATAAAATGTATTTAACAGTAGCTCACAATGTTGATTCCAACAAGGTGAGAAAAATCTCGGCAGTTACTCGGTATAATTAATTACGGAATTTACAACATCGTCGCGATTAATACTCCAATTAAACAACTTCTATCATACAATTTGTTTTTAAATGAAACAATACTATTGAAGTCAAACAAGCAACCTATAACCAGAGTAGCTAAGAAATCAGGGTATTTACAAGTATAAAAGGACCAACTCTTGAAAAACTATGTAGGTATATGTGAATTATATCTCCCAGCAATTCCGAGGACAGAACAGTCAGCCCATTAAATTTAAAAGAAATTATCTAATCTAGTGTAATAGTGTGATATACGTATAAAAATAAACAATTATATATCTTGCCTATGATATGGAGAATGAAAGCGAAATAGTTTAATATAAAAGTACACATTAAAGGGGCAGGCAGGCTTATAACCCAACAACCATGTGACACTCTTCAAATATTTCTGACTATTTTGTATTAAATATTATATTATAAGACATCATTAGATACTTAATTTGACGTGTTTTTACTAAAGATTCATTTTCTGTAATCGAAATTTTTAATCAGATTATAAAAAAGTCCACTTCCATCTATGTTTCTCTAAATTACAATTTAGGAGGTCAAGGAAAAAAATTATAAGTAATTTTACTGAGACAGTGAACTTACCATCTAAAAATATATATCTAGTTACCATCTGGTATTCACTATCAGATTATAGTGAACAAAACGTTTTCAAAAGAATTAAATTACACTTAATAAAATATTAATAAATAGTATCGCTTCAAGTTCGGCTGCCTTGAAAATTATTATAAACTATATTTGATATATATATATATATTAATATAAAATGTATGTTCATTGTACAAAAGTACTAACGGAAACTGAAAGCAGTAACAGAATTCTTTTTGTCCAATCCCTTGCTTTCGTTGCTAAACTTTATTTTATTATATTTTATTTTCCTAGACAAATAACCCAAAATTATCATAAGGTTACTAAGAACTTATATGTTTATGTAGTGTAGCTTTTTTGGAGTTCCCAAGCTCTCTTCAGAAAAAAGAAATTTATAAAGCTAAAATTAGTAATGAAAGTATATATATATATATATATATATATATATATATATGTGTGTGTATATATATTATAGCTATATACATGTTATTATCAATAGATTCAATTTAATATAATAATAAATATGTATATGTGGATTTTCTAATTAACAACTCATTGTTGTTGTAAAGTAACTTACAAAGATATAACTCAACGACAGAGATAAAATCCGAAACTGACGTTAGGCTCGCGATAACACACGTTAAAACTTCCAAAAGCTTTATCCTTACATCCACACAAAATTCCAAGGCAACCGTAATTCCTTAACAACCTCAGAAATTTTATGGCAATAAGCTAGCGTAAACGATTGGCTTGAATTTTTGAATTTTAAAGGATAACGTTTATGTTAATCTTCATTTTTTTAACATTCATTATTTTCCTTTGCAAAAATAGTTTTCACTACTTACAAGTCCCTCTGTTATATTTATGTATAGTTTTGAAAAAAAAGAAGCTCTAAAATAATTTTTTTTCACTTTCCTGAGATCATAAATTTGTTTTATCATTCAAGAAGTAACTGTTACTAACAATATTTTGTTATATAATGTTAAATTAAATAAAACATGTGGTTAGGGCGATAATCAAGTTTCTTAGTTAAACTAATGGGCTCCGATTGTTATATAAACAACAAAAGAACATAGAAAATTTACTTTCATAATATGACTTGTTTTATCTGCCTTTCTTTTACAAAGTTAGAGATGTAAAACCAAGAAATCAAAATCTAGACTTTCTTTCCAAAGATTATAGAGTAAACTATGAAGGTTTCACATATTTTTCGGCTTCGCGCTGGGTCAAAACTTGTGTATCTAAAACTGGCGATAATGAAAACATATTGTTTAAAACACTTTATTTATTATTTTTATTGAAAAGTACTACAGAAATTCAACATTATAGAAAAGAAAAGTTCAATTAAATGAAGTCATTGAATTTCAATATAATTTATAGATATGATTTGAAGTATGATTAAATAACTGATGAGGAAATTTATATTTTATCTTCAATTTTTTTTGTAACAAACAACAAAATGAACTAGTGTTTTACTTTTCACAAAAAAATATGTATATAGAAAATAAAAAACCAATGTTCACAAAAATAGGTGAAACAAAAATCAAAATTAAGTGAATAATTTAGTAATATGTCAAGTATAAAGTCATGCATTACCAGTCCTGAATATATTTATATCTACATAATGTAATACAGCTATTAACTTAACTAGTATTTTTTGAATACCATACTGTTGTAGTTATATGTGCAATGTAGGTTTTAAGTGTTATTTTTTTTAGTTAATACTATTTTATCCAGGAGCTGTTAAATGGAAAGAATACTGTAATTATATTTAGCACTGCACATAAACGTTAACAAATTCTTTGGTGACAAAACATAATATATATTTTTACTTTTTGTGTGCATAAAATAATTTAAGTATTTGTTAGTACTTTAACGGTTTCTGGAAAAAAATATTCGTTTTTTATTAATATACTGTTGTTGCTTAAGAAACTTCTCTTATATATGTAACTCAACAAATGTACTTGTTAATTAAAATAAAAAAGTAATTGAAAATAATGTTCAATTAGATCGAAACGTAGCAGCTCTATGTGTAAATATTCTATCCTCAGTCTATTTGTAAATGGACAAGGATATTTTAATTATGTAAAAGCGTATTTAAACCTTTTGAAAATCAATATCTGTGAATATTGGTAAAATTTTTCTTATTTCGGAACCTTTAATCATATCTCTTTGTATTCGAATTGTGATAAACATAAATTTCTATGCTAGATGCTTTCTTATTAAAATAATATATTTTCATACTTGAAACAAGTTAATACTCTAAATATATTATTTTACATGTAAGTTGCAACAAAGAATAAGCTTCCCAGATTTTGTCTTTTCCAACATAAATAAATAAATAAGTTAAAAGATTAAAATAACAATATGCCAGCTCTAAAATATATGAAATAACAAGGGTGAAAAGAATCTAAAGTAAATAAAACATCAAGAGTTAAAATAAAACTAACAGATAAAAACAATATAGTAAATTATAATAGACTCGCAAACTCCGTCGTTAAAATTTTATGACTGAAACCATACCAAAGCGGTGAAATTTTCGTTAGTTTCAATTTTAAATAAAAATGTCTTACTTCAAATAAGCGATATACTTCTACATTCACGTATTTGTATTAAGTATTTGAACTTTGCCATGAGATTAATTTATCTAATGAAATTAATATGCCTATATGAAAAATTCAAATCACTGACTATGACCAAGAGATTTTTTGTCAATGTATCTCATTACGACCAACAGGTCTTGTACTTTATAAATATTTGTTCTAAATCTGTTTTCATTTATTTTTTCATAAAGGATAAAGATGAATCATGTAGAAAAAAATGAGTTTACATGACCAGTACACATAAAAAACTTTCCTTATCATATAATTTAAGTAATCCAAAAGCAAATTTAAAGAAATTTATTGAATATGTTTAAAAAAAATTAGCCTTTAATGAACGTTAACGCATTACATAATTTCTCTTCGTTATTGTTATTAATTTTTAAAATTAAAACATGAGGGGACTTCAATTTTTTATTTTTTTTTAATTATAAACTTTAAACAAAAAAAAACTACAAAATGTTTTAAATGAAATACTAAACAATTTTCAATAAAAGAGCAGTATCATTATCAAAAGGTCTTAAACAAAATAATATTATGTAAGAATCTTTTTGAAATGTCCTCAACTAGAAATAGTAAACAAAAAAGTAAATAACAAAATGGATTGATTGATAAAAGAATTGATTAAAATTTCTGTAACATTATCTACTTTAAAAGCAATTTCCCTAAACTTATTTTAAATAAAACTCATCAGGCTTTCTCTCGTATTATTTTACATCATTTTGTATCTATAGAGCTACTGAGTCACCACATTGCTGATAGACATTGCCATTGACATTGTTTGCAATGACGCGGAGATACTCTGATATACCGGTTAATTTGATATAATTACTTCACAGAGAGAAACGTAAATTTTAACGTTTGTTTTGAATATATGAAAATATTAATCAAAAAATGAAAGTTGATCATTCACTGCTTTGTGTATTGTCTATTCCCATATTTTTTTATTTATTGTTGCTGTCCTTGTAAAATTCCCTATTATGAATATATCATTCATTATCTTTTGAATAAGCCGTATTATTAACCTGATACATAAACATGGTCATATGCATATTCATTAAATTTAAATATTCTGTTGCATTATAAAATAGATAAATAATAAAAAAATCCACAATGAATTTTAAACCAATTTGGGAATTTAAAATTGATATTTAACCCAATAAACTAAATATTTATTCATTTTATTGTCAGTGATTCAAATATGTACAAAACTGTGTATAAAACATTACCCGTCAAAAATATGTATAAAAACATTAGAACTATAAATCACACAGCAAAGTATAAAATACTAAGAGGGATCGTAAATTGTCGACAATTCCACTTCGATACAGTTCTATTGCCGATGGCTATTTCCCACATCAAATTAAACCAAATATACGAGTATGTATCTTTTATAATATGAAGAGTAACATTCTAGTATTGTATATAGTACTACATATAATGCAAATTTAAAAAAAAAAGCTGTATTTTTCTTATAATTGTAAACGTTTAACGTCAAAAACTTCAAAGAGATATCAACAGTCCTTTTATAATACGAGAATTCTTTTCTGCAGAATAATATAACATCCCTAAGATAACAGATATTCAACTTATCTTCAAAATTACCATACCCATAGGCTGAGGCGTAAATTTAAATTCTTATCCTCATGAAATCAACAGGAAAGTTTAACAGTTAATGTCGAGGAAAAGTTTCTTTTCTTTTTTTCGGCTACAACTTTTTATTGAAAGAAATAAAGGCACATTGGACTTAGTTGAAACGTGTATTAACGATCAAGGGTCTTGAACTTGTGATCAAGTTGGGATTTGACACGTTTTGTCTTTTAAAAATATAAATAAAATCACTTTATTTCCAGAACAATATTTTAAAAAGAAGGCTTATTTTTAATTATACCTTCGATAATTCAGATAACAAAGACATGGATTTTAAAGTTTTCTGCGACATACTTCTGTATTACGTATATAAACACCTTGATCGTGTGAATACAACTCTCTTCTAAATAACTGTGAATTCAACAGATAAAAGTACAGCCAAGGTCTTATTTTGATTTGCAATATGTATATATGTGCGTCGGCGACTAGGCTACACATGTTTTTGTATTAGTGAATTTAAAAGGGCTTTGTTTTAATAGCCAACAATTCCTTAGAAAACCAACATATCCAAACACCATGCCATGAAGGTCGATAAGTATTGGGAGGTTTTTAACAAACTCCTTAACTATATGTTTTTCGTAAATTTCAACGATGTAAAAGTGGGAGCTAGAGTTATAACAGCTACATCTCTCTACAACCGACTAAAAAACTAGGATCAACCTGTCCAGAATTAAGATGAATTAAATCTTAGAAAGTACTTTGAACGCAGCCCTAGCAGTTTCATTTCAAGTTTAATTAGGTAGACAGAGGAGTTTGGACGGTAGAAATGAGAGTTTGAAGCGCGTTACAGGGGGGCCCCTTAAAATTAGATTTGCGAGTCCCATTCACTATTAAAGCTTCTCTTTCTTCAACTAAAAAATAATACTACCTAGCTGAAGTTAAAAAAAGTCAATGACTTGTAATATATTACTAGAAAATCAAACATTCTAGAGGTGGTAGAGCCTAGCTGTGGTCAAGTTAGTACAGCTCGAACATGGGCTGGCTCGACCGGGGAAGTCCCACCCTCTCACAGAAAATCGGCAAAAAAAACATTGAATTTAAGTTATTTAATATATATGATTACTTCGTTATTCAATGGCGTTTCTAAGTTATATGAGATAATACAATTTTCCGCTGCTGATATGAAGACGTTCGATTTATTTTGGTATTGTTTATTTAAGCATTTTATTATTTTCTAATAAAAATATGTTAATAGTTACAAAGGTACATAACGAATGTTTAAAATATATATTTGTTAGTTTTTACTAGTAGGTTGAAAGAATAGTAACTAGAAAGTGATTATTCTTTGTCGAGCTCCTTTCTTTAATTATATTTTGTATACACTTTTTGTTGATTATTGAGTATTTTAATAGAAAATCATGTGCTCTTGTTAGTGTTTATCACTTTCTACGAAATATAATTTAAAACTTTTAAAATATATCTGTATAAATTCATAACGCTACTTTACTATTTGAGTTATCCGAAAAAGTAAAACCAATATGTACAAATAATAAACCGGTGTTTAGAAACAGAGTGTCTGTAACAACATAATATTCAAAAAATAAAGTAAAGAACGAAGGAGGCGTATACAAAATACGAGTAACAATTTACGAGCTGTTGTTCGTAGCCGCTTATGAGGAAAAACGGATACTACACGACACTTTATGACAGATGAGTATTTATGAAAACAAACGGTATTTTATATGTAAAAGTCACAACATATCTCAAATTCTTACCAGCTAAGAATATATTTATTTTGATTAAGTATTTTTAATTGACTTATTGTGTTGTTTTTATTATTATTATTGTTATTATTCTATTTGTCGAGTCAGTTTGAGAACGATAGTATTATTTTAAATTATCTACTTTTGAGCAACTGCTAAAAAACAATGGATATTTAAAATGTAGTAGTGGTTATGCTTAAAGCTAATCTTACTTAACAATATGCTTATACCAAATATATGTATCTTTATATAAATCCAAATATAGTATTCATAACTCATTTAATAATTACAATGACAAAAATAGATAATCGGTGAAAATAACCTTTACGTATGTACAGCAGACGACAATACATATGTATAAAAATGTGAATATTAATTTTATTAAATTCTAGACTTTAGATAAAAAGTAAGTTTTAATTATAAATAATATTATGACATAAAAGTGCTAGTTTTTAACGTGTTATGAAAGTTTTAATTTTCAGCATAGGGAAGAGATAGAGAATAAAAGAGATATTTCATTATTTTTATGATTAAGTTTTCTCTTATAAAATACTATTGCCGGGGCGGAATTGCATTTCGAGGTGCCTTAGTTCAGAGTTCCTACGTTCTTTCTTGAAAATATGTTGTAATTACCACAGAGAGCTACGGGGGAAAGTAAAATTCTTCAAATTTTTTTTTCACTATACGATTTACTTACTACTAAGAAGAAGTAAAATATATATTTTTATAACAATTATAATGCGAAAATAATTATTAAAGGAATATTGCTATTTATGATTTTTTTAAATTACGAGTAGTTGATTGGAAAGTAAATATCTTTCACGTCATAAGTCTGATTCGATAGTTTATATATCATAAAAAAAATTTGAAAGTCTCAATCTTAATATTAATATCTTTTTACAGTTTAAGGAAAGCCTTTTATTCTTAAACGGTAAAAAGACAGAACTCTTAATTTCATATAATCGCATTACAAACATCCAGTTTATTTTTAACAAAAATGTACTATATATTCAAGGTAATATAAATATCTAAGAGTGACAAAATAAATTATTTAATGACTAAATATAAAGCTTTACTTGTTTAATTTTAATATAATATTAAAGATAATTTTAAACAAAATGTTTCATTCTTTTAGAAATTTATTATGTTATAAAAAATCCCGAGAATTCAAAGCTTCTCTAAAATTTTTTCATAAAATTCAGTGTCTAGTATTTCTAAACCATTTCATTCTAAATCAGACAATACCTCATTTTAACAATGGTTTAGCATAACAAATGTAACTTCCTGATTCTTCCACAGAGCTACCCTCGAAACCGGTGATCTTTGACGAGTTCGGCAAAGAAATAACCGGAACTGCCGGCCCTTTCAACGAAGGAGGCGACTTTAAGCTTATTTGTTCCGTGAAGGGGGGTGAGTACATGATTTGCTTGAATTTCCTGCTCTTTCAAAATTGTATACAAAAGAAAGTTGAAAGTCTGAAATTATATTTTTTAATCAATGTACCTAATATTGTAAGTCGTAGATTGAGTCTGATTTATATATTTAATTCCATACTTCTTACATATGAATACTGTGTCAATGACGTTTGCAATTTTCAAAATATTTGTTTAGATTGGTACGAATTATGAAGAAGAAAAAAAATAACGAATAAACAATGATACCTTTATTAATTAAATTCGTATGGTTTTAACATCATGTATAAAAAATAAAACGAAGGAATTTAATCATGATAAAGAGATAAATAAGCATAATAATAATATGTCAATTCACGTAAGACGTATTCTTTGTTACGGTTTTTTTTTTGTAATAAATATATTTGATAAATTTACTTGTATTTATATTTATTTTCTTTCTTCATTACAATATTCTTTAGTAAAATATATAAAGTAAATAGATAGTATACTTATTTTTGTATTAATACATATAATAATTTCTATTCATTGACTTAGGCAATCCTACACCAAGAGTACAATGGTTGCATGGCGAAACTGTACTCTCTTCACTGAGCGCGGGTGAAATGCCAGTGGATAACACTAGGTCATTGACCCTCTTGATCAGAAACGCAACTCGTGCACTCTTGTCGTCTGTGTTCACATGCACAGCGGATAATACTTTGCTATCTCCGCCACAAAGGGTCTCTGTGCGTGTAGAATTGTATTGTAAGTACATATATACATATAGAATTATGAGTTATTGGTCATAAATTTTCCCATATAACTTTAAGAAAATAGACACTGTATACAAATTTCAACAAAATAACAAAAAAGACGTATAAGAAGAAATGATGTTTGGATTACATTAATGTTTTTTTAGCTGCCTTGTATGTCAATAAATTGTATGAATCATCTCTTTTAGTGTCTTATCGAACTATATGAACTAAATAAAACACCGAAGAAGTAAGTTAAAATATACACAGCTGTAAGATCCATTAGACAGATAAAAACATAAAGGTACGAAAAACAAATTACATGATGTTTAAGAGAAAGTTTTGTTTGTAACTCAAGACATAAAATAAAATAAAAAACTATAAGATTTAATTATGAAATGAATTTATGTTGTGAAACTTTATACAAAATATTATATATTTTAAAATTTTTTTCTTCTTTCTTATAATATTCATCACACTTTTTGAAATTTGTTAGTTACTTTTTTCATCGGGCTGTTTTAAAATTATAACAGTAAAAAACTGTATAATTTTGCTAAACATTTATTCTTTTTTTAAGGTTGTTGTACAATATTCATTGTAAAAAGGCCCTGTCTAAATATAAAAGAAATGATCCTCGAAATTCGAAAATTTCGGGAGCGCATAAGCCGTTTAATGAATGTATATGGGATGGAAAAGGTGTTTCAGCGTCAAAGCTAATGGAACGATGTTGTTCTTGTCTTAGTAAAAACAAGACTAAATTGCTCTTAACTTATAGTTGTATCTAGTTTCAAATAAAATAAAGAAACAATTGTATTTAGTGTCAGAATAGTTTTTCCCACACGGTGTAATTCACGGTTGCTCATCCTTAGAACAAATATCTTTTAATTTTAAGAAAACACTAATTATATGTAACTGTTGTATATTTGTTTTTTTCTAAAAGCAAATTGAGATATTGTTGAAAAACATTCTACTTTATCGTATACAACGGGAATTCAATATTCCACGTTCTTTAGATGTCACGTGATCTGTGATTGTATTGTGATTCGTTGTGAATAAAATATTACAGTAGAAGTGAAGCAAGAACTATTTTTTTCTGTTTGAAATGAGCTGTTTGTACATCATATTGCATCAGAATAAGAATTAAACGTTATCAATACTTATTGCTACTTAGAAACAACTTCTATAAATTAACATAAGCAAGTTAAATACATGTTATTCTAGGCCGTTTAAAGTTTGTAAAATTTAAAATAACACATTTGTATTTCAAGAACTTTAAATGCTGCTTTATTTAGCCAAAAATTATACTACTGAAGATGCAGTTTCTGCGAGTGTGGCGAAAAAATTGGAACCGTGCAAATATTTGTAACTTTAACAAGTTTTATGAAATGGGACACAAAATTTTTTGTAAATTAAAGAAATATTAATCGATTTTTTTCTTCTTTCTACTATGATACTTAAGCAGAGTTTAATGTTTTTGCTATTTTGAATTAATTCAAATAATTAAAGTGGCCATTTGGTTATTGAATGTTTGTACCATATTACACAAATATAAATTTTATTATATTGAAAAAAAAAATGAACCATTATTAAAAATTATCGAATATTGGACCTCGATTGAAATAAATTACTATTAATACTCTTAGTCTAGATTTTCAAGAATAGCTAATTGTGGGCATAAAAATAAAACCTTTTTTTTTGTAAGTGCGACCGCTGTCAATCGAAATTTTATCAAGGGAGCAGCCCTTGTCAGTGGGGAGACAAGCCGAGCTTTGGTGCAAATCAGCCGGTGCAAGACCTCCAGCAGTTATCACTTGGTGGTTAGGTGGCAAAAAACTTGAGTCTATAACTAAACAACAGGTACACTTATTTAACAATTATGATTTTTAATTGAACAAGTATATCGTCCACATGATGATAAATTTCACACATTTTCCACATTTGTTTAAAATAATTTTACATTGTCACTTTTTATAGGACTTAGAGGAAGGAAACGAGACTCAGTCTCTGTTGAAATGGACACCTTCAAAGGAACAAAACGGAAAAATACTCACTTGTAGGGCAGAACATTCCAAGTTCAATAGTTCAACGATTGAGAGTAAAGTGCTACTTAATATTTATTGTAAGTATTCTTGTTTTGTATTCGTTTCTGTTTGTATGAAGTTATTTACATTAATATGCTTACAAAAAGTCAAAGACGTTTTTTACTTTAATTATACACATATATTTGTATAAATTTAACTTGTATAAATATATTGATCCAAGAGTTATGATGATGTGATTATATTTTAACTAACTTAAATATGTATATATCTAGACCTTCCACCTTATTAAAACTGAAGGGATCATTTTTTCAAACAATTGATACAAACAATGTTTGGCGGTTTTTTGACGGCAGTTGTAAGCAGTTGAAATAAATATATATGACTTTCTTTATTTTCATCATGGCATCTTTAATAAAGAGATTTAAGATTTTTGGGAGTTTTATTCATATAATATGAAAAGTAGCCGAAACGTCGGGAGTATGTAGTTATCCAAAAATAAAACGCGAAGTAAAATCCGAAAAACATTAGTTTCATTTAAATTTTAGTTTTATTCATTTAAATGAAACTAATAGTTTTCGGATTATATTACGTCATTATATTTTGTAAAAACTACATACTCCCGAAGTTTCGGCTACTTTTCAGCAACCGTGATCACGGGCAGACGAGATGAAATGTGTAAAAAGTATGTAGTTTTTTAAAAAAGTAAAATAGTGTAGTAATCTGAAAAATTTCATTTAAATCTTTAATAAAGACTTAAAGTTGTGTACTAAACACAATTCTGGATTTTTCTTTTTTTAGTGTTTTCTTTTATTTTTATATTGGTGTATTTTGGTGTACTGTGTAACAATATTTTCCAATGTAATATATTCTCAATGCTATAGCCATGAACCTCTTTTATTTCTGCAATGAAATCAAGTTAAACCCATTTGATACAGAGAAGGTTTGTGACAAGGAGAATAGAACTCTATTTCATTTAACATAGAATGAATAATTCAACAGATGTGCCGGTTGCTACAATGCACCTTGGCGCGAAAATGAACCCGAACGATATTGAAGAAGGAGACGATGTGTACTTTGGATGCGAAGTTGATTCCAACCCCCCTGCTTATAAAGTTGTGTGGGAACATAACGTAAGTTCAAATTTATTTCCCCTTACTGTTTTATTACAAAATATTTTCCTCTTTTATGAGGTAAAATAAAATCGGCGAAAGGTAAAACCTTATCCATGACATATTTAGTTGGACCTCTGATCTTTTTTTTAATTTAGGATTATAAATACCGACATATTTTTCAGAATTATATTTTTCAGTTAACTAAAAAGCTGTCTAGAGATAAATGTACCAAATTGAACGTACGTCAAAAGTTAATTAACATTATGAAAGTGTAAATATTTCAAAATTATGAAAGTGCTTCAACATTTGAAAATAAAAATTACGTTTAATTTCCATAATGAGATTTTTTATGAGGATGTTGTATGTTATTTCAGTCACGAAAGTAATAATATATATGCTTTTAAAAATGTATATTATTGTAAATATATATGTATATAATTATTATGACTTACATTTTACAAAAATATTATTTATATTTCACGCCCAGTTTTTGTTTTTAAATAAAAAAACAAGGGATGTAAAAATTTATAGAATTATTGCTCCCATCTAAAGACAATCCATTATACTTCCATACGTTATGTTCGCTCCCCTCTAAAATTTATATTGAAAATAAAGTCTACTTTTACGACGGCTATGAAAACACACTTGACGACTTCGTTCCTATTGATAAGATACATTTATGTTCCAAGGCATTGCAATGATTAAAAAACTATTGCTTATAAGCTCTAGAATAATGTTGAGCCATATTTTTTTAAATAACTAATACTAAAGTTGGTATACATTTTTAAACTATAATAGAGAGTTTTTTCATGGGGCTTGAATAAAAATCAGAGGTGGTAGAGCCTAGCTGTGGTCAAGTTACTACAGCTCGAACATGGGCTGGCTCGACCGGGGAAGTAACACCCTCTCACAGAAAATCGGCGTGAAGTAGTCTTTAATGGCTGCGTTTCGTCCGGTGAGTGAGAGAGCCGGTTGCCTTTTCCCTTTTCCCCACCCTTTCCTGCCCTTTCCTTTCCCTCCCTTTCCCACCTTTTACTCCCCATTTTCCCCAAACAAGGGCGGCAACACATCTGCATATCTACGTTGTAGATTTCAATGGGCGACGGTAACTACCTATCAAGTAGGCCGGTCTGCTCAGTTGCCCCCTTTCTCGTAAAAAAAATATAATAATAATATTTAATAGAATTCTAATAATCAATCTTCCTATTAATGTTACATTTAACGCTTATATTGACTGCGTTTCTTGATTTAATCGAGTGATCATAAATGCAAAAAAGCTTAACATCATTTTGGAAAAGAGATGAACTGATTCCTATTAAACAAAGCTAAGAACTACCACAAGTCAGTCCTTTCTTTTGAGATACGATGGAGCAGACAAGACACATGCGCACACAAATAGTCTTATGCATATATTTAGAGTTATAAAAAAATAATAGCGATGAAGCAAACATTTAAATGTTATTGTTATTATAAATCCTTACTGCTTTTTTTAATTATCTGTAAGTTTTTTAATAATCAGTGTAATGAAACAAGTTTTTTTGTTATAGAACCGAAAGATATTAATACTGTAAGAAAAATATTACCATATTCGAAAGATATTAATACTATTCAATCAATCTTCTTAATGTACTTATAACAAAAGATTCATTTAAAGCTACATACAAATTTTCCCACAATTTATCCTTTTTGACGAGACCCCTACTAAAAGGGTAAATCTGTCAAGTGTGATTTGTCAATATAGTAGTTGTCAGTATTTATATGTGTGTGTGTGTATACATAGGTATATATATACAAATTATCGAAAAATTACTGTAAATATTATACTACTAATATATGTATATTATACTTACTTAATAGTTTTGTGGTGTGGAGAGAAATATTGTTAAAATACATTTTTTTACTTCATTTTTGTCATCTAAATTGTGAGTTGTGCATTCAATTTATAAATAAAACATTTTTATTTTTTTGCTATGACAGCTTTGTATGCACATCCAAATCGTCTATTCATTCTGCGTTTGGATTGAGTTCTATCACTAAATTGCGATATAAAAAAATCTTTTAAGAAATTTGTAAAATATTTCACAAAGTTAACTTTATTTGGCAAGTTAGCGAGAATATTTTATTTGCTATTAAATTAGACGTTAATATGTGTACTTTTCCTTACTGCATCCTTGTCTTTTGTTTGCGTAGTATTTTCAACCTTATCATAAAGTTGTACGAATGAAATTAAATCACCAGGGTATTTTGCTTCAACACAATCCTGCCAACGGAGTCATCCTAACTGGCAACACGAACCTTGCACTACGTAATGTGTCACGATACCAGGCCGGTAACTATACCTGCACTGCGTCGAACGTCGAAGGAGACGGAAAGTCACTTCCCGTACGAATGAAAGTCGTTTGTAAGTTTTTTATTTATTCTTTACGAAACATATTCAGAACTAATATATGTCTATGGAGTTGACTAATATATGTCTAGAAAAATGGCTGATTTTTAAAATGTAAATATAAAAAAAAAAACATTTAAATAACCTCATTTTATAAAAATTGTAATAGAAAATCAACGTATTTTATTAAAGACTAGTTTTTGCCCGCGACTTCGTCCGCGTTAGTTTGGTCAAGAGTAATATATGTAGGTATAGCTGACCAGGCAGTGGTGGCCTAGTGGTTAAAGGGCCCGCCTCTCGTTGCCGAGGGCGCTTGTTCGATCCTGGACGGGGCAAGTACCAATGTGATTTTTCCGAGTCATATGTACTTTCTAAGAGTATTTAGACATCACTGATTTATGTTGATTCCCAAAGAGAGGGTTGATGTCAGGCAGGCGGCCGGTCGTAAAAACAAATAGCCAAAACTATTCACAAACATGTAAGGCAGACCCTGGCTATAGCTGGGAAATTGCCAGGTAGAAGAAGAAGCTGACCAGGTAAACTCTATTCCGTCTTAAAGGCCATAAATAATAATCAGGTTTTTCCTGTTTCAATCAAACAGAATGATTGACATATTAGTTAGTTGTCAAATCTAATGTCAAAAAAAACGTTTGTATGGGAAATAGAAAAGGGCTGTTTTCAGGGTTTTCCCGGCAGTTATACCAATTTTTCTCACCTTTTAAACCTTTCCTGGACTTCCAGGACTATTTCAATACTAAAATTAGCCAAATCGGTTCAGCCGTTCTCGAGTTTTAGCGAGACTAAGGAACAGCAATCCATTTTTATATATATAGAAGATTTATACGTTTTATGCAGATAGACCCATATGTCGATCGAAAGATATGAAAATAATAGGTGCAGCATTACAAGAACCATCGAAGGTGGAATGCGAGGTGGATGCTTTCCCTGCCCCAGACACGTTTGAGTGGATACTTAATAATTCTGCCGGCTCAATAAAAGTTGACCCTGTAAGTAGGTCTTTGATCTTTACAAAAGATTCAATAACATTTAATGTGTAATTTTGTTCATATTCAATTATGCTTCATATTGATAACGTAAGAGGTTATCTACAAGATTTAAGAAATGTACTAATATTATATTTACAAACCTCTCAAAATTGAAGTGATATAATATAAGTTCAAGTTTGTCATACAAAATTATTTAAACACCCTTTCCTTCAAAGAATCCCTTTGACAGGGAATACGCCAGTAAAAAGAAAATACATTTTGAGACTATACCGATTGAAGTCGCGAAAGGGTTTAACTTTGTGAATACTCCGATGCTACCCTTATAAAAATATTGAGCAAAGGATTGCTTCTGCTATTTTTATGAGATACACATATGATACAATGATCTTCCTCCGTATATTTAATATTATGTTTATTTTGATGTTTTTTTAACGAAGTAAATAAATCAACAGTATATTTAACAGTATATTGAAAATCTCAACATATTTTTAAACATGAGAGGTGAAAATAAAGTAAAAAGATATTATAAAACAAAATATTGCTTATACTTTTTATATTTTGTTAAAAATACTGATTTATAAATTTTTAATTCATTATTATGAAATGTAAGAAGATTTACTATTCATCAAATATATTAAAACATTCATCATTACTTAAGAATTCTCTGTTAATTAAGCTAAGCGCTTAGTTCTTTAGAGAAGCTATAAATGGATTTTCCTTTTCAAAGGAACGCTTTAACGTCAATGGCCAAGCCGGAAAATCGGTATTAACATATGTCCCCGTATCCGACACGGATTACGGAAAGTTGTCGTGTCGTGCAACAAACCTAGCAGGACAACAAATGTTGCCATGCGTGTACACCATACTGCCTGCAGCTAGACCTGATCCACCGTCCAACTGCTCAGTATATAATCTAACCGATGATTCGCTGGATTTGACTTGCCTTGCAGGTAGGTTCTTATTTTATTACGTTTTACAATTAAATTTAAAATAAATATATATAACATTTTATATATTTCTTTATTTTGTAGGGTACGAAGGTGGACTTCGATGTATCTACGTAGCAGAAGTCTGGGCTAATGAAGGTTTAGTAACAAATTCAACAAATGACGCTACTGTTTGGAATCTTAGAAGACTTGGCGCTAAAAGACATTTAAACATTGTGGTATATGCCGCAAATAGAAGAGGAAGGTCTGAACACGTCACATTAACAGTAGAAACTGCCCCACAATTATCTCCTAGAACGGGTATGTCCTTCAGACCTTTTAATACTAATTTTTACCACATATTTTTGTAGCTGTTATTAAAATTTCTTGAATAGGTTTGTTTATTTTTTATAATTAATTGTGTTTGGTCATGTAGGTGATTTTTTTTACGATATTAATAGTAGAAGACTTCTAAGGAATATTAATTTTAGAAATCTATTCCTAGATAATGAAGACAATTTTAATATAATATATTTTTTATACCTTATACCTTAAGAATGACAAATATAATCTGAACATGAAAACTTTTGTCCTACTCCATTGCTTTGTCTCGTTGAGGTTGCATTTGCTCCGAAAAAGTTTTTAAAACCACTTTCATGGTCGGTGAAATTTTGAGTGTTTTATTTAAGCTTGTTTTAGCAGAGTAAAAGAAAATTAAAATAGTCGGATTAAATAAAAATAAATGGGATATACATTTAATTTTATGATCTTCATTTTTTTATTTGTAGCTGAAAAACTGGTTGCTTTGTACCCTAGAGCCCTAACAGTTTGAATACTTAAACTTTCCATAGTTTTTATATATGACATAAATTTTATATGTGCTACAAATCAATAAACAATTTTCTTAATAAAGATGTCCATGCAATACAACCTTCTTGTGTTTCATATGGTACAATAATGTATAGTCCGTTAGACTTAAGCTGAGCTTTACATTTGTGTGAGTGAAAGTAAAAGTAGAGTTAGACAAAAATCTTTTAGAATCCAAATTAATATTTTTAAATAGATTCATAACATAAGTACGAAAGTAATTCTAGATTAAAAACAAAATAAGCGAAACATGTAAAAGGCTAAATGGAAATATTATGGAAAAAAATAAGAAATAAAAATGAGGAAGGTGCGGGGCGGAGTAAAATCAGAATAAACCGGTTAAAAACTAGAAAAGAACTTGGCATTCAAAAATTTGACATCACACCTACACTATCCGTGTACACTCACACAAATGCAAAGCTCAGCTTAAATCAAACGCACTATAAATTTCATATACTTTTTATTATTACGTTAAATGTTTACCGTATAAACAATGAAATAAAATGTTTTTACAGTCAATCAATCAAGGTTATATAATCTTATCTGGCAAAAGGCCGCTTTATTGACACTGACTTATGATTTCAACTTTAATTATTACAAATCTCAAATCATGAAGTTGAACATCTTAGTTAATTTATATACAATTTTTAATTCTAATATATAGGATATTTAAATCCGTAATATTTTTAGCTGACATCTTTTGATTACGCTATCAATTAGTGATTAGAATTTTAATAGTGTTTATATATTTAAAAAATTAGCAATCATTAGCTTTTATTTATGTTTAAATAATTTATTATAACATCCAAATATAAATTAGCTTCCCAATAACTTTTTCAATTACGCTTCTGTTAAATGACAGCTTAATATTTTTATTACTATTTTAGGTTGTTTTGTGATGTTATATTATTTTTGTACAAACGTAATATATTTCAATGTTAATAAGAATGTTTTAATTGATTCTACTTTTTATAAATATTTAAATTTTGTTCTATTACAGTAGATAAGATGACTATTTTCCATGTAATTATCAACTGTACTATAATTTACATGCATAAGGTGAATCTCAGAATAAGTTATATCTAACTTACTTTATATTTACAAGTTTTTGCTTAATTTGCAATGTTTTTTTATGTCACTGTTAATTTAGACTGCAAATGAACTAAGCAACAGTTATCCTTAGTCGAATGAGATTTAATTTAGACATATTTAGATTTCAATTCGATGTCTTTTTTATTCAGATGTGTACCTACAATTTAATTTATGAAATTTTCAAAGGAACTGAAATAGAAAACAGTAATTTATTTATCTAGCAAATAAGTTTGAATTAAAAATTTACGAGTCAAATAATATATGAAATTAAGAAGTCTAGTTAATCATTCTTAGAGTTTTAAGAAAATCTTGCCCTTAATACATACGCTTGCTTTTATATTTAATCTTTTGCTGGTGATGATGTATTTTGTAATTATGTAGTATAAATGTACTATAGTTCTTTTGCCACTACTTGTCACCTCCTAAAGTATATAAATGACAAGAGAGTTGAACTCATGTCAATCTGACTCATTGATCTAATTAATTATTATTGGCCAGATTATTCTTAACGAAGACAATATTAATATCCTCTGACAATTTATGATGTTCAATGTTTTAACGAAGATACAACTGCCCATTTTTCATGAATATTTATTAATAGTGACTTTTCGAAATTCATTTATTAGAAATTTTGTTTTACGAACATCGAGTGCCTTATTTTTGTAAATCATAAAGTATATAGAAATATCTTTTACACACTGAAACTCTTCATTGTTAAATGCGTATTCTCTAAACAAATTAAGCTTCACAAATATTGACTAGCTTAAAGTAAACGTAATTCCATTGTCATCAATATAGCAATTTGGCTTAAATTCCAGTATCAATTTCAGGACTTTATTGACTTTGGATGAGTATGCAGTCAAATAACGTCTCCTACAAATACATTCAATTTATTAAAATTTAACCTATTCGCTGCAAGATGTGTAATATGTTATTTGAATAGTCTATTATGCAATCTAGGGTTGACTTTGAGTGTAAGCTGTCATTAAGTTGAAGAAATTGCTGTCTCCAAGTTTAAAAACATTGATCAATACATCTTTTTGGATTACAGTATCACAACCTTAATATATATTATATAAAATGGGAAGACGTTTGTGAGTCTCTTTACGCGTTGACACATTAGTTCTGTCCTATATCAGAAAGAAAGCTATGAGGGTGGAGCGGAAAATGCTGAGTCTTAAAACGGACATAAATGTTCCTATATATTGAGAGAGGTCCCCTTATCTTACGCCACGCTTTGCAATAAATACTTTTTATTTCAGAATCGTTTAATCTTATTTATAATTTTTTAATCACTTGGAACGTAAAGTAGACGCTTAAAGTTAAAATGGAATTCTTGGAGAAACTTAATATGTACATTTTTTTCTTTTAAGCTATTTAGACAGGACAGTAGATAAAAATCAAAAAAACATGTGTATAAATTTAAGGTAATATCATAAAAATCGTTCCATAATAAGATCTCTGATATAAGAGTTCCTTGTTTTCTATATTATGATTATCATATTTAGTGCCTTTAAAGACAGTCATAAATTTTCAAGAACTTTTATAACCGTATCGTAGAAGTTTTGATTCTGTGCTACATGATTATAAGTTTGAAATCACCAACCCGTCTTGAGCAAGCGTGGTGATTAATGTTCAAACCTTCTCCATGTGAGAAAGAGGCCCTTGCTCAGCAGTAGGCTCAGATAGGCTGGTGATGATGATGATGAAGATGATGCTATAAAAATAATTAAATCTAATCCTTATTTATTTTAATATTTTAACATACTTATATATTAAATGAAAAATTCGGGTTGGGTTGGGTGGTTAACTTAGTTGAGCGTGTAAAAAAGGGGACTATCACCTATGTTCATATTATTTTATCCTAAACAGTAGAAAATCACATATTGCTGGTTGTAATATTGATCCCCTTCTTCCACCATTCACTCGTTACAGTTCTTGGTATATTTGCAAATAAAAAAGCCATGGTATATAAAGTTTTAGCTCTGCGTATCTGGGTATATTATAAAATATATTTGATACCGAAAATTTATTAATGAAGGTTTAGCCACTATATGTACATATGAAATTCAGAAGTTTTTAAAAAATTGCTTATACGTGATACAAATTAGTAGGTGATGTTATTTTTGTTGAAACAAGAAAGAAATAAGAATAAAACTTATTTTATATTCTTATATTTCAGAAGCTGGCTAAATTTTTGTTAAAATAAAATGATATTTTAACAAAAATTAACAGTTTCACACAAAGACCTAATTTATAATTGATAGAAAACATGTGTTATGAAGCCTGTTATTGTTTTTTTTTATGGGAAAAAGGGGCAACCGAGCCGACGGCCTGCTTGATGGTAGGTAGTTACCCTCACCCATGGACATCCGCAACGTAGATTAGAGGATGTCTTGCCGCCCTTGATTGGGGAAAAGGAGGAGGAAAAGGTGGGAAAGGGAGGGGAAGGAAAGCTTGCGAAATTAAGGGAAAGGGCAACCGGCTCTCTCACTCACCGGACGAAACGCAGTCTTTAAAGACTACTTCACACCGATTTTCTGTGAGAGATTGGTACTTTCCCGGTCGAGCCAGCCCATGTTCGAGCTGTAGTAACTTAACCACAGCTAGGCTCTACCACCTCATTGTGATTATAGGAAGTCCATGTGGCAGACATTCAAGTAAAATCACAGTAGTACTTATTTATTTACACATAACATACTTATAGATTTACTCTTGAGCTATATATTGATTAATAATTCACTTTTTTGAAGAATAATTGTTTCGAATACTATTCGCACTGAAATACAAAATGTAACTGAAAAAATCATTGGTTGATATATATATGATGAAAAAAAATATTTTCACATTCATGTGACAAACAATCACAATTAATGTTTATGGGCAATATATGTATGTACAAATGGCTGAAGTCATTGAATTTAATTGTAACGTAAACTCTATATAAGGTAACTATACTGTTCAAATAGTTAAACATCTTTTTCATAAAAAGTAAATAGCAAAGTATTAAAGAAGGTTATTTAATTAAATATAAATTGCGTTATACTAGAAAGAATTTAATTACCACATATTATGTGGTGCATATTAATGCTAGTATTTCTATCTTATAAGAATAACAAATGAAGTGGAAACTGTCGTTGGTCAGTACAAAGTCCATAATAAGTATTTCAATATAACTGAGAAAAAGGATCAAAGTCAGTCTGCTTTAATAGCATGCATCACTTGATCGAAACAATGAACTAAATTATAATAAGACAATTCATTACTTTAAAATATTAAAAACCCAAGCAAGTATTCAGGGCATTTACGTACAGGATTTTTAAAGAGATAGGGTGTAGTAAAAGCTAAAATTTAGTTCCTGTAAACATCCAGGAGCATAATCTGCATGCATTTCTTGTTTCAAAACCCTACATCGTATGCGGTTCTCACACTTTACACACTCAACTCCATCCAGTGCCAAGTCCACATGATAATCTACAAAGCTCAATGCCTGGAGATTCAAGAGGGTTATCACTATCTTATTTTATTATTTTTGTATCAATAGAAATATATAGTATTACATGATTTTAATGAAATAAACACTTTGACTAGAGCATAAAATAAATATAATTTTCAACATATTTTACACACAACTTTACTTAAAATATTATATTTTAATATGTAATCATGGACGTGCCAGCAACTTCTTATAAGTAGTATTTTAAATAAGGAGATGTTAAGTAACAAGCATAGCTCTCTATCGGAGATTCAATACCGAGTATGGTGTTTTTCATCTAACTCTTGGTGGTACTATTTTTATAATAATAAATTAATAATAATTGGAAAAAGTTTACTTATTAAGTATATAATATTTAGTTTATAATTTTATTTATAAGTAACCTTTTAATACAATGTTCAACATACATACTAATGTACAGTAGTACATTAGTATTTTGTTATTATACTTTTAGTTTTAAAAATTATTTTTATTGGCTTATAATTATTTATTTTGTTTTTATTGCCTGTATTGTATTTATATGGCCTTAAACCTTATCAGTCTATGTTTGTTCTAACTTAGTTTTTAATATTAAATAACTTTATTAGTAGTATTTAAGTTTTTAATATTACTTAAGAGTGTATTACTTTGTATTTCATTTAACAGTTCTGTAAACGCCTGTAGTGGTGTATCACACTGCACTGGTCCGTGTACTGTTATTAACTAAGTTTTATTGTGAATATGCCGATGGTGTTTCAAATAAATAGAATAAATAAATAAATAAACACTCAGTCGTCTGTAATGAAAGTATCGAGTTTTATACATGATACAAAGATATCTTGGTCAGTTGGTTATTAGTTTGCTAAGCGACCTAAACTATAAGCTTAGCAATTAAATTCTCTACGTCAACAAACATAAATGCATAGTTCTTTTTTTATAAGATAGTGTCCCTCTTCATCAACTTTTGTGAAAGGAGCAATTACACGATCGACTTGAGTTGCTATTCGAACAGCTTCCTATTTTTTACGGTTATATGAGGTAGTCATAATGCATTACATATATGTATATATATATAATGCATTACTTTATAGTTTTTTAGATAAGTTTGATTTTATGTAATAATTTAATATTCAGAAGCGCAAGAGGCATGGGAAGTCAACTGGGCTGTCGGTGGTGTTCTTGGCGCTGCACTTACTGTCGCATTCATACTATGTCTTGCGCTTATCGCTTCAAGATTACGACACAGCGCTAGAAATTATGGAGGTTTGAATAAAAATATATATTATTTAAAATAACTAATGTTGTTGGTCAAATTATTTACTTGTTTATTTATAAACAGAACAGCAATCTTATGATTATTTTCTTTTTTTAGTAACAGTACAATCAACGAAGAATCAAAATGTGACTCTCCAGAAGAGGTGCTCGCCAGACGATTGTAATCCGGATCTCATTCCGCTCAGTAAAAGTAACTATAATATTATCTCACATTTCTTTTTTGTAAGTGTATTTTTATCTCTTTCTATTCCAGAGCGATGATATGAGTAAAATGATTACAAAGTGCCCTAAGTAACAAGAGAAAAAGATTGTTCATATCTGCTAGCACACGAAGTAATTCTTTATAAATATTTATTTCAAAGTGTCCGAAATAAATCAAAAAATTGACAAACACAAAGCTTTCTTCAACACTTTTACTGAATATATTTCAAATATCTTTAAACATAAATACATTCTCCTCACAGAACCATTATTTTTAAAAAAGGTTTAATATTAAAAGTGGTGAGGAATATAGAAATAGGAATATGGGGCTTGAAATTTGATTCCAATCTTCAAATTTCTCAGCAATTTTTGTATAGTTCTCAATATTTTTAAATTAAATTATATATATTTTGTAAATATCATCTGCTTTTTCTAAATACCGGTATCCTGCCCATATCGGAACCAATGCGTTATTGAAAATATTTCTAGGTAACATTTTCAAGATTTAAAACTGGGGAGTGACGTTCATTCTTTTTGTACGAGTATCGCCAAAAACTGTGGTGGTCGTTAATTTTATTGTAGATTGTAGCAGTTTGATTATTTTTGAAGAAAATTGACATCATAGTAATAGAAACAAAATTTAAATATGCATTTAGTATGTACTCAACAATAAAGTATTCTGCACGTCACAGATGTTGTTAGACAAAGTGCGCTATAATTTGAGAACGAATGATTTTATTGATATACGCTATTAAAAAAGAGTTGTTCCCTCAAATCTATTCATCCCAACTCAAAAGTATTAAGGAAGGAAGTGCAACGTTCTTTTTGTTTGTTTTCATCTCAATGCTTCTCAGAGAATAAAAGACTCTTTCTCAACGGGTGCTCCCTTCTTAGAGAGTTACTATTAAACTATTCTGAATTAAAGAAATTACTTTTTGGAATTTAAGAGATAAATGTAGTATCAATTTAAATCTTAGTGCCTATAGATTTACAAAATAGCATAGATATATCAAACGGAATCACAAGTCAAGTAAATTACAAAAATGTTCAAGATTTTAAAAGACGTTGAATTAAAAAATTGTCCCCCGTACTCCTTTTTTTTTATCGAGGAGAATCTTTCAAAGACTTCCCGCCGCGGGGGAAAACACGGCAGGGGCGTGTGGGATTTCCACCCACTAAACTCCTCGGCGTTCTCTGCGCTGTGCGTAGGCTAGTGAGCGGGAACGGCAAGCCATACTTCCGCTAACTACGCACGAGTCCCATGGACTCCGTCTTCGGCAGGGGGTACTCCTATTCTATATTACATTAACAAACATTTTTGGCTTTTTCACCCCACAGCGAACCCGGCTGCTCAGGATATTGAAACCAATAAAAATATCGTGACATTTTTACACGTTTTCCATAATTTTTGTTTTGAGATTACATTAATATATTAGGTCAAAACATCTATACACAGCATGCTTGAATCAATCCCTTAATTATTACTAGTTGCGACACCAAGCAGCAGTTACCGTCATAAAATAAAAAGATACACTCAAATTCTAAGAATAAAACTTATTTAACTTTCAACTAATTTTTGCAATTCTATGTTTATTCATTTTATAATATTTGTTTCGGATATGAGTGATGTTTGAAGTGAGTTATTGATATCTAATAATCTAATAATCTATCGAGATTGCTATGTAGTCTGTCTGGGATAACATATTGCTTTTGGAGGTGCAAGATATTCGAGAATAGCAATTGTATCCCCTTAAACCTTAATTGGCATCTATTTATTGGAAAAATTGATTTGCATTTAGCCTACAATTACCAATACCTAACCATTGATTAATTAGCGAAATAAACTTTTTATTCTCTGTCTGTAATTTATTAGTACACACACTATAATATTTTTTATTAGTTTTATTTAACTGTTATTAAGGATAACACACATTACACTCATTTTTAGACGGAAAAATTGTTATGACAATCACATTTTTCGTTTATAGTTAACTAAGTTTAAAAGGTCGTAATGAAAGACACATTAGATGGCGCCCTTCTTACTTCAGACAGAAACGTATATCAAGTTTTCCAAGTTGGTGTGACATTACAAATTGTTAAGAATTTTTAATGTGGTGGCATTCAGTATAAAATTAAAAGCAACTTTGCAAAATGAAACATTACATTTTGAGTCGATGTTTCTTTCATAATACTTTTGTGTTTTATATTTATATAAATGGTTGCTTACTTTATACGTCTTTGACATTCTACTTATTATGTGCAACGCTTAAAATTTTGTGGTTAATAGAAATATTTAAGTCGCCACTTGTTATATAAGCTATTATGGAAAAATAAAAATACATACTCTGCGTTTAATAAACAAAATTAAATCCCTATGTAATACATTTCTATATTTCTTTTTCAACATTTTTTACTATGCTAACATATGCTATAATTATTGCGATTAAAATCACTTAGTCTTCAAAATATACATTCTTTCAATTGGTCGCTAGTAAATTACTTTGTGCCAGGTGTTATTGTATTATTTAAACTTTTCTCATTTTATTTTGTCATGTCGGAAAATACGCTAATTTAATCAAAATAATTAAATTTAATTACTCTTAATTTGGGAATAACGAACCAAAAACGGTGATTTAAGTATTTTACCCAGATTAATATGATAAATGATGTTTAATTTGGGTTTTTAATTTTAGATTCTTGTACTCCATTAAAAACAGAAAAAATATAAATAATATCTCATGAATATACTTATAAAGAAGAATTTTTCAACATAATGGATGCAAATAATTAATTGAAATGTTTTTTTTATGTGAAAGGTGGCAAATGAGCAGACGGCCCACTTGATGGAAGGTGGTAACCGCCGCCCATGGACATCCGCAACATCTTTGTAGCGGATGCATTGCCAACCTTGTTTTTTAGGGATAGGGAGGGATGGGAATAAGGAAATGGTAGGAAAGGGTGGGAATAGGAAAAGGGCAACCGGCTCTCTCATTCATCGGACGAAACGCAGCCATTAAAGGCTACTTCACGCCGATCTTCTGTGAGAGGGTGGTACTTCCCCGGTCGAGCCAGCCCATGTTCGAGCTGTAGTGACATACCACAGCTTGGCTCTACCACCGTTGAAATGTATTTTAAATGAAGTTTAATACACAGATCAAGTATAGATTTGAAAGGAAAGTAACGTAGGAATTTCTCTTTATTTAAGTTGTTGACGATATCCGTTAAAAGAATGCTTATATTTAAACATAAATAAAGGAAAATTATATAGTTTATAAAGTATAAAATAAAAAAAAAACTAAAATCATAAATCCGTAGTTTTTATGATTCAAATAGAAATCCCCCTGCGTCTTGAGTCAGTTTAGTCACAAAGATTCTTCCATACATACGTGCAACGCTTTCTAATATTTATCGTGAAGGCATATATAACATCGGAATTCTATCATATCTGGTTTTTATCAAATGAAATTTAATAAAAGAGATTGTATAATAACTTTAGAATCAATTAAATTTTGATTCGACTTTAATTCAAAGATATGAGACTATTGTTTTAGTAAACTATAGTTATATGTAGTAGAATCATGAATTTTTCCTTTGTTTTTATTGACATTGAAATAAGAACAATATAATGGAAATAAAATTATGTTTTTAATTTGAGCCAATAATTTTGCAACAAAGTCAAAAGTATGAAACTTTCAAAAGCCTTAACTAACAGACTAATAATTGACTTTACTGTAATGAATGTCACTTTTATTGATACTTAGTTTCTTTGATTCAGTTTGAATCTTATAACACTTAAAGATCTTGCTTAACACTTCGTATCAGGCGGTTTACTATACATCAAGCAAATAGCGGTTACTTTACATCGAAATCTTGTACCATTACTCTTCTAATTACAGTAAACAATTATAAGTTATATTTTATAAAGGATTAAGTGTTAATTATAAGTTAAAAATTTCATTCCGTACGTATCGTAAAAGAATAAATCTAAAGCTCATTGCAGGACAAAAAATGCTTTATTGTTTGTATTAAGCCCAATGATTGGAACAGAGTGATCCCCAACGTATTTGTCGATCGATTGCCTCCCAGAGGATTGTGAATAATTACTTCTATAGTCACGAAACGATTTCAAAAGTTTTTCTGGGTTGCTTTCATGAATTTACTGTGGGTTTTTTACATTCCAGTTTAATTAATTTATGAACGTTAAATGGCTTAATTTAATTGATAATCACTATGGTTCCAAAATAGAATGATGTTTTAATAGAAGTGTTTTAAGATTTCGGAATAATACTCTAATAACATTATTGCACAGTAGGTTTCGATACTACATAAAACTTCACTATTTAATTTGTATAACTTTGTACTGAAATGAACAAAACAATAATAATACATAATTTTAAATTTTATCGTTAAGTGTATTTTATTAAATGTTAATCAATTATTATAAGTTAAGTTGAGATAAATTATCATAGGCGTCACAGATGGCCCTCCTGAACTACCCCCTGAACCACCGCAATATTCAGCAATCGTCCCGAAAACGGAAGCGAAAAATTCTACTAGCTCTCGCAGCTTGGCACACACCAAAGCCCCAACTAATACTCAACATGATTTGTCGGTGAGTTCAACCTAAAATAGTTATTTATAGTTTAGCTCGTATCATTTTTAAGAAGAAAATTTTGTTCAATGTTGTAATCATTTCACATTTTTTTAATTAACTAAATGAGATTAAGACGTCATATTAAAACTAAAGTTACAAGATCATGTAATACTGTAACGTAAACGATATTAGGTTCAAGTTCGAATTGCGTCCGGACTCCTCCTTTGAACTTTTATAATTCAGTGCAATGAATCCCAAGATGCCTATTAAACTTTCATAATATACAGATATTATAAGAACACAGTATCTATCCTTGTCTTTATACTAAATATTATATTTTCTTAAAACTGTGGTTGAATACATTGCTAAATATTTCTATGTTTTCATAAAAGTAT